GTAAGGTAAAGAAGACCTCGTTTACTGCGAATGGCTTCCGAGGAATATAACCATTACTACTGAGGTTTTCTGCCAACTCCATCATCTCGAAGCAGCAGTTCAAGTAAAGAGGTCAGGAATACATCATCGAGCGATTTTGAAGTAAGATAACGCCCGCCGTCATATTGCTAACATCACAAAGGCGACTGTTCAGCAGCTTAGTTTGGACGTCATTCCACCTTGCTCCATCAGATTTGAATCTCTTGTGCTTTATATGGAATAACCTCAGATCAATCTCCTTTACTGACGACGCCACGCCTCAAATTTGGCTTGGTGCATTTATCACTTTTAAGCCACAGGATTTATTCAGGTGTGAAATACAAAACTCAGATCATTGGGTGGCAATCGTAAACAATGGAAGTGAATATATACAGTTTTAATGGAGTAGAAAAGCTACGAACTAATGATAATAATTAACCCGTTGAAAAGAACTGGGTCGGTCTCTCAGAGCTGTAATTGGAAAGAATAGTTTGACTTGGATATTTGGTGACTGCGAAGACTTTGGAAGCTTGATATTCAGACTTCCTTTCAGAAATGCGAGAAAATTATCGGTTAGCAAATTTTGAGTTTTGTAATGAAAACAAATAAAATATGCTACTCTAATACCTAGAAAGTGGGAAACGCAATAAGTCAAAACTGGCCTCAATACTTCAAGACTATAAAGAACTGACATTAAGCTGAAAATAATTACGTTTTGCAGACTAGTAGGTAATCCTTAACGCATCGCTCAATCAGCATATCCTTGAAATTCGCAGCGGCCGCCTCCAACCCTTTTATCAGGTCCACCCTGTGCATCTCGTACATCTCCATTCGTATGACGTAGTCAGTTTTGAGCGGAATGATATCTGTCAGTTGTTGAAATCTAGCGATCTGCTCCATGTACTCATCGAACTTGTGCTCCCCCGATAAAAATTTCTGAACGAATTCTTCCTCTTTGCCATTGACAAGTTGGAGGAACTCGTCAAAATCTTGAACCCTTAACTCCGGACCTATTCTTTGGTCTTCCAGCATACTCCTAATTCGTTTCTTGTAGCCTACAGCTGTCTCTTTGGGAATGATTGGCTAAAAACAATTAATTATAAATACGAGGGCATAGCTTTCACTAGATGGTTTGGTACTTTCAAAAATTGTTCCGGTCCCATCCAGTCCAAATAGAGCTTGGTTTCCAGACGTGGAATATCCTCCACCGCTTCTATTATAATATCGATTAATTTTAACAGGGCGTCTCTAAAGTTCTTGAAGGGTGGTTCAAAGGCAAGCATATCTCCTCTCTGCAAAAGCTTCACCTGGAAACCCTTGTTCTTATACTGAAAACAAATAAAATGCAATAATTGCATGTACCATAAAAAATCGGTTTTTATTCTAAAACATTACCTTTACGTCAGTTATGTAAGTTACGTAATCATATAATGACTTCAGACATAATGTCTGCAATTGATAAGTCATCACAGTAGCAACGGCGTTATAAAATGACACCATCTTCTTTGGCTTGCCAGGATCTGGCAGCTTATTTCTCTTACTGCCTTGTAGAAATATGTCAACCACTTCGGAGTAATAATTGTTCATGAGTGTCGCTTTGCATTTTTCTATTTGTCTATTGGTAGCGTACTTGAACTCCTGAAGGTCAAAAGTACCTTGGTGTTGCATTAACTCATCAACATCCACAAGGCGTAACTTTCTAGAAACAAATGTGACGGTGACGACAACGAAGCTTCAGTATTCGTAAAAGTTGGTAACATTAGTCATAATATTAGACAGAAAAAAATTATGAGAGATCTGTTCTGAAATATAAATAACTTGAAGATGAAGTATAAAGTTATGAAGTATAGAAAATAATTAGCTTTTCCCAAGTAGAATCTGAATTGTATTATATGTTCTGTGATCTGAATAGGTATTTATGGAACTATGTAGGGTTCCTCCTCTGATGTCGTAGATAATTAGAATATATGGTAATTTTGAAGAAGACATAAGCAATTAGTAGATAAGGAGATCGTTGGGTACATGAGGTTTACTAAAGCAACAAAAAGTTGACGAGATGGCAACACGTTGTGGACAGAGACGTAACTAACACAAATAAATACAACATGATTATTAGTTGAAACAAGTAAGTACCTGCATTTGGTGTACCATACATCTAAGAGAGCAGTCAAGCACGGATTGACAACATGCAAGTGTCTCTCCATTTTCAACTTGCCAGCTTCGTAGATGGGCCTAAAACTATTACCGATCTCTTTTAGTTCTTTCTTGAACTCTGATTCACCTTCGCTCAAGGATTTAACGAAAGAGTGATCTTGTAAAACAAAGTCAATAATTGCTTTCTTCACAGCTGTCATAAAATCTTCTTTTACGTCTTCTATCGATTTCGCTAAGGTTTCCTCCCAGACCATTAGCCGTCTAGGAACAAGAGATAGTACCTAAATTCGTAAAATAGAAAAATTGTAACTGATAACGATGAATTTCCATTCATATGTTTTAAAACAAAATAAAACTGCAAAACGGTATACCCTGCTTAAAACTTTCTCATCCAGTGGAGCAACATGGACTGTGTCGACCCCATGTTTGACATAGTAATAGTAACGCAACATCTCTCTTTCTTCTGCAGACGGAATTTCGTCAGGGCCAATCTCGCGCTCTTCATCTTTACTGACAATTAAATTAACTAATCTCCTCCTAAATTCTTCCCTCTGCTTTTTAAGAGCTGTATAAGATCGCAATTTAGAATCAAGATCAGCATCTGCAAACAATCTTTTATATTAAACTATCCTTAGACTATTATTACCCACCCACGTTTCTTTTTTTCCGCTGCAAATTTCTTTTTGTACTTTGGATGATGTGATGCAAGGATAGGTTTTAGAAGCTCTGGGGGTAAGGCAAATATAGACCTGTCATGGATATTAAAATCGGAAGGTAGTGATAATCTGGGTATTTTCAATTTCAAATCTCCTCTAGCCTCTAATTTGGCTCTCTTTTCCGCAATTTTCTTTACTAGTCTGTCTCTTTCTATATCTCTACCAGCCATATCTAGATTATTATTAAAAACATAATAAGTAAAATATACTTAGTTAACAAATAAAGAAATAATTTGAGGATATAGGTACATATACAGGGTGTCCCAGAATAAAATGTACAACGGAAGACAACAGATTCGTGGACTCAAAATAGGCAGATCTAGGCTAATCCACTTATATCCGAAATCGCTTAAGTTTGGCCGCTAGTTGGCCTCGAAGTTGGTGAAAATTTTTTGAATTTTGTAAATAACTCTAATATTTATTAATCGATTTTGATTATTTTTGGGGTGTGGGCTTTTGCTTTCAATCTACACATTTTGGTGTTATAAGGAGTGTTTTTTAAAACCTACAACTCCTACAAAATAGATGTATGGTGATAATATCCGTTCATAACTTTTTCCTCTTTCGGGCAATAATGAGAACAATTTTTTATCGGATAGGTGATTTCATTTGGCAGTTTTTGGGCCTCTTGTAGAATTTTGATTAAATGAGCGGTTTGGGTATAAAAAATATTTTTTAAATGTCTACATTATCCTGCCACCCATATTATAATACTTAATAGTAGGCACTGATTTTGTAGGTTGACTGTAATTTCAGTCTGATCTTTAAGTCGTTGTGCCTGACAATTCTTAATGAGTGTTTACGACGATAAGATATATCACCTCTTACTTCATTTTTCGATATGGATACACACATACGACGAATTAGAGTTATTTACGATGCGCCTAATTTTAATCAAATAATTAGAAAAAACAATCAAATTGGTAGCATTATTGCTGAATTGGCCCTGTTATACTACCCAATAGACTGAATGGGGAATTTTATTTAGAATCTTTGCAAAATACTTTACCCGAGTTATTGGAAGGTGTGCCGTTATTACTCAGAGCTAACTTGTGGGTTATGCATCATGGAGCTCCACCACATTCCACTGTAAATGTCCGACAGTATCTGAACCAAAGATTCTCGCGTCGATAGATCGGTAGAAGGGATAACCCTCCTTTTAACTGGCCTGAAGGTTCACCAGACTTAACACCTTGCGACTATTATCTTTAAGGCAATCTGAAAATAACAGTGTATGCTTCCACATCTAATAAAAATAATCAAAATCGATTAATACGTATTTGAGTTGAACTTTGAAGCCATCTAGCGGCCAAATGAAGCGATTTCGGATGTAGGTAAATTAGCCTAAATCTGTATATTTTAAGTCAACGAATCTGTGGTCTTCCGTGGTACACGTTATTCTGGAACACCTCGTATATGTTAAAGAATTTTCTAAAGAGGATCCATCTGACATTGCCTATAGTTTCAGGAGAAATATAGCTTATCTTATAAAACTATAATGTTTTGTACCTATGGACTTAAATATTTGAGTAGCACTTAGAGTTTTTATAGATGAGAAAACCGCTAACGCGGTTAATATAATTAACGGTGGTTTGACATTTTCACGATAAATGAAGTTAACTCGGTTTGACCGAGTTTGTTAAACCAGCACACCGTCACAGCCTCCTAAGGACGCCATACTTGAGGTAGGCTTGGATCATCTGTCTTTGTCTTATTCTTTTGTCTCACAGGATAGTTACCTACTCTTAAATCCAAAGAATTTTTGAGAGATCTGTCAAGTCGACTCCAACCCAACTCCCTACTCCTAACACAAGAAAACTCAAGCTTACCAAGTTAGATGTAGTTTGAATTGTCGTCAAAAAAATCCTTATTATAAAAGTGAAGGTAAAAAACTATTTTCCTGAAATTTGAAACCCGAAGTCCTTATTTTAAAATAATAATAATAATCCATTTTAATTATTGTTTTTGTTTCTTGTTTCAAAATCATTACTAAAAACAATTTCCAATTTTTTATACTGGGACACACTTTTGAGAACCTGCGTTTTCATGAGCTTTGTAAAACTGTTTTGGTGGCACTGTCAAATGTTATGTCATTCTACAATTATTCTCCATTTAGGCTCGACAAACAAATTGAGGTTAATTTGGTTAGGAAATTTGAATAATTTTACGTACAATAAACATACCGAAAAAATGGTAGGTGTACTTACTCTTAACTAATTGAATTACTCAATTATCCATGTCTTCTTAAATCTAAAATTACACTTCAACTTCAACTAGAAGTAGAAGACAGTTATTTGTCTTGTAACTTATTTGTTTGTCATGGAAACCCATATAGCCGTCATTGATTTTTTTTACTGACAAAGTAAATTTTCAAGTATTTTTTTAAACTTCATTAAAATTATGTATTTGTATGGTTTTAGTAGCCTTAGTTTTACTGTCGCTGGCTTTATATTGATCCTAATAACTATCCAACAGATTATCACGAGAACTGTCGTCAAGCTGTTCCACACTGGCGCAGTTAACCCGGCTACTGAGAAATCTCTACTGGCCACACTAAGGAAAAAGACAGGATACACATTCACAAACTGTAAGAAAGCTTTGGAAATGCATAATAATGATCTTAGCCAAGCCGAAGCATGGCTGAACCAACAGGCACAGTCTCTGGGATGGTCAAAGGCAACAAAGTTGGAAGGACGACATACTACACAAGGCTTGATAGGTGTCTCGGTGAATAATGACGATGGAGTGCTGGTCGAAGTAAATTGCGAAACAGATTTTGTGGCCAGGAATAAAGAATTTCAGAAGATGGTGGAAGAGACTGCTAAAACGTGCTTAGATTATGTTAGGAACCACCAGAAATCGAAAGATATGATAACAAAGGTACCTAATTGTATTATCTAAATTCATTTGTTTATAAATGTATTTAAGCCAAAAATATTGATTTTTCATTATTTTTTAGATATGTTTAGATGCAGAGCAGTTGAAGAACCTTAAAACGAATGATGGGAAGTCTCTAGCAGACAAACTAGCTTTAATGATTGGTATGGTTGGAGAAAATGCTGTTCTAAAAAGAGCAATGTGTTTAAAAACTGGAAATGGTGTTCATCTCTCTGGTATGGAACTTTCTTTGTATATTTGTTAATAAATTAAATTTATATTATTTTTAGGTTATGCACATCCCTCAGGAATTACTAGTGATAATGTTATGATAGGCAGATTGGGTGGCTTGTTGGCTTATAGGCCGTTGGAGCCAAGCGAAGCTGTTAATAGCGTCAGCAAAGGTATATTATACTTAACTACAATATTAATGTACCATAATATTTTCAATACTTGTTCTAGGTATTTGCCAACATATCGTAGGAATGCATCCAAAGAAAATCGGTTCATCAGATGACGAACCAGCAAAGAATAAAGATGAAGAGACTTGCCTAATCCATCAGGAATATCTCCTTGCCGATGAGCTAACCGTAAAGGAAGTCCTAGAAGAAAACAAAATTGAGATTGTGGATTTTAAAAGGTTTGAATGTGGTGAGAGCGACAGAGCTCTGGGAGACCAGCCTTTAGAGTTCGTAGAAACTTGTCAATAGTAGTTGAGTGTTTTTATAGATTGTTAAATAAAAAAAGGTAACTATTCCACAGTTCTTTATTTAAATATTACATAATACTTAAAAATGACACGTGATCTGTATAGCTTTAATGTTTATCGAGTAAAAACCAATATAAAATAATATAAATTACAAATAATTTAAAAACATTTATTTTAAATTCACTATTTTTTGTGTTTTAAAAGCCCCAGTCTTATTTTCTCTCCCACAGATTTATTCCTCTTCAATTCAGGACAGTTTTTCCATAGCCATATTCTGCAATCTTTCTTCCAGATGTGAGCTATTTCGTTGAGCGTATAATTCTTTCCTCCACATTGTAACATCTCGTCTTTTATAACGAGTATTTCGTTTGTTATCGCATCCTTTGTTTCAATTTCGTTCTTGACTGATGGCCTGTCCCTGTGTATTAGTTCTCCCATCTTGTCATTTCTTACCTGGACGAGAACATTATTATGAGATTTACTTGACATCTTTTTGTATTGAACATAACTTTCGAGATGTAATAAGATTATCTCCACCCAAAATTAGGGTCTTTTTATTATACAGGGTGTTAATGACATACTCTATCAAACATTAATGGTGGATTTTATGTTACAAATCAATAACAAAATATGCTATAAACATGTGCCCAGAAACGAGGGTAATTTCGGGGTACAAGATATTGAAATTAAAAAAATATAAATTGATATAGATTAGTGCAACTTGAACCAATAACTTTGCAAATTATGAGCAAAAATTTGCTGATTTGCGATACAAATTTGCCAACCATTGCGGAGATACTTGGAAATACAATCTGGAAGAGCCCTAGAAATTCAACGCCATTGAATATTCTGACAGTTAGATAAATATATATTTAATTCCAGTTAGTATTTCCAACAAAAAAGATAACCATCAAATACACAAACATTGGAAATTGGCTTAACTGCGAAGCGTTCATAGGTGTTCTGTGTGATCTATAAACAAAGGGAAAGTTTAACACATGGAAACATCTTGTCTGATATAATTTAGACATGCATGATACTTGAAAAGGTACCGGTACTAACATATCGTCTTGTATTTTTGAAAAAGTACCGGTTATGTCCAATACCGGATGAAAAAGTACCAGTACACGACAAACCGGTACATTCACGATCCTGCATCTATTCAAAGAATTTTTATGTTACATGATTATCTGTGCAATTTTTTTTTAATAAATATAAAATAAAATAATAAACTTTCCAAATATTATTTTTAAAATGAGGCATATTGATGGGAATCACAAAATACAGCATAAAAAGGGTAAATTAAATCGTAACAGATTTCTGACCTGCCTGCAATTTTGGATGTACTGAGTTTTAGTTTTTTTACGATAAAAAAAAATAGTAGTCACACCATAAAAACTCAAAAACAGCGACAACTGACTGAATTTAAATTACAAATTTGACATATTTTAGCTAATTATAGCCAGATTGCGTGTCACTATTTTAGAAAGTTGTCAGTAATAAATGAGTTCTAACACAAGCTTTAGGGTTCATTTAACTGACATTAGGTATTGCCAGAAAATGTACTGGATCGTATTGCATCGTAAGCTGTAATAACGGTAATATTGAATATCAGAATGAAAAAACCGGAACCCAGAAAAATAGTATGTACCGTGCATGTAACTAATAAATTGTAGCAACAGTGTTATTAATTCCTGTAGTATGCAAGTCTTTTCTAAGTCAGTGTTTTTTTTTTAATCCGCTGTAGGCCAGTTTCGGTGTGACAAAAATACCACCTGTATCAGATATGCTCTGATGTGTTTTCGACACAATTCTCATTAATTAATTTGGTATTAACATTCTAGTGCAAAAAAAACGCGTTTTTTTGTTTAGTTTTTTGCTTATAAAACCAAAACTACTAGAGCAATCTCAATTCCGTAAATGGAAAAGTTGTAGGAAATTAAATTTCAAAGAAAATGAGAGGTCGAGCGATTCGGTCGGTTGATTAGAACCGGAGAAAATACGGAAAAGCCGGAATATTCTGCATTTTCTTCAAAAATTCATAACTAATCTAATTTTATGGCTACTTTTTGTAAATTTATTTTTTTTTAGTCAGTATAGTATGAATTATTTGTTGTTTGTTAGCACTAACTACGCTCGACATAATTACACACAATTATCGTATTCATAAAAGAAATAGTTCGAATTCAGCGACTAAACCGACAGCTAGGCAGCCGCCTGGCTGACTGATGGCGCCAATGGCTAGCGGACCGATTGTAACAGCTCTAATAATGAGACAGATTTTTTCAATTCCTAAAAACCTTTTTTATTAAAGAAATATAGTTTCAAAATTAGTATTTAAAATTGTAATTCTTAGCAAAAAATTCCAGTGCCTATATATTTTTTGTTTTATGAGTAATCAAATTGTTTTTTTTATTTATTTTAGTATGTTGTAGGCATATTTTAAGTAAAAGAAAAATGATAACTCAAAAAAGAGGCTCTACAGCAAATAGGCAACTAGCAATACATTTTTATAGATTTTATTACAGTTTGTCTAAATATGAATTAATGCACAAATAACATCCTTGCCCCCATTTTAAGTCAGATTTTCTCTAAAACGGACTTAATTTGAAACTCAAATAACTTTTAGATATAAAGAAATTTGTAATTTATGACGCCGCTTGTTCAAAAGTGGCAAATTACAAATTTCCTTCACAACAAAAAGTAATTTTGAGTTTCAAACTAACTCCATTTTATAAAATCTGCGTTAGAATAGAGTAAAGGATGTTATTTGTGCATTGATTCTTATTTAGACAAATTGTGTAATAAAATCTATAAAAAATGTATTACTGGTTGCCTATTTGCTATAGAGCCCTCTTAAAAGATACATAATATAAAAAAATGTGATTTTTTTTTAAATTTTTCCAAACACATTTTTATAGAAACTTTTTTTATCAATTTGTAATATAAAATTCACCAGTTACATAGAAGTTTGGAGTATTTTATTATCACCTTCTGTAATCGTCTTTAAAAAATTAATATAATTTTATTAATCGTTTCAACATTTCTCAATGGGGCTTACTTTTAAAGTTAAAGTCGATTTTCTTGCAACAGCACTAAGATACAAATTTTCCTTAAAATATCCTTTCAGCATATGCAAGGTTCAAGAGAGAAATCAAATTTTTTTTTAACACTAGGTGGTACGAGCTAAAGTAGCGAATATCTACTTGAATTGAACTTTTTTCTGATTCTACTTGAATTGAAATGATCTTGATTCATATCATTATCTCTTTTATTAATCGTGACGAGGAACAAAAATCGATCAACATCTTATCAGGGCGTCACATCGACAGCTCGTTCTAGAAAACAATCATTGATCTTCTCTTGATCAATGTTATTCTGTATTTCTCTAAGCATGTATTCCGTGTCTTCAATTGATGCATAGATGGATTCCAAATTTTTCTCATATTAGTAGTTTATGAAAAATCAACTTTGAAATGTTAGTACCTACCTACCTACTGTAAAATTTACATTCCAAAAGTGGACATCATGTTTGACATCCCATTATAAAATGCTCCGTATAAAAGTAAGTATTTGTACAGTACCATTTTAAAGTTAAATATGTTCAATAAACTGATTTATTGTCAACAGTTTTTGAAAATTTGTCAGCAAATTGGGCTTTGAAGAACATTATTAGGTAAAGAAAATAATAAAAACTTTATTTTCTCTACTTGGTTATATTCTCCTTAGAGTAGTACTATTTTATATTATGTATTTTATTATCATTACTTACTTCATTTTCTTCTGAACTAACACTCTTTGCATCTTCCATGCCCCCTGTGTAAGATTTGGTGTCACGTAAATTTAAGTGTTTTGCATATAATATTCCAAGACTAGTTGTAGACACAGACCTTCGCAAAGGTGCGGCTTTGGATTTTAGATTTACTTTTTTTGAAACATTATCGTCGGAAGTCATTTTTGACACTTAATTGTAATTGATTTATTATTTTTCACAGAAAACTTTGATCATTTTATTTAATACAGAAATTGATTAAAAAAAGGTACCACTACATATCTGATAAAATTCCTAATAATGAGGATAATACAAAAAGTTAAAGGATGGGTTTGAAATGAAAGAGCGATTTTTATTCAATATATATTTTCTGTAATATACACCTTTAACAATAATATATAAACACTTGATAATATTTAAATATCCATACAAATCTTTTTATACATATAATATACAAATATTTAATCTTTTATACTTGTTTCTGTGACTCTATAACAAATACGATTTAATTAAATTAAAAACAAATCAACAAATTTTTAAAACTACAAACAATTTACAAGTATAAGTAATATACAGTTGCTTTCATGGAAAACAATGTGGTGAAATTTATTTTCTGTTTTCGGGAGACCTAACTACTTGCATTGAGATATTTAAATTAAACTTCACCAAATTCCAAATCGGAACAAAAACAAATAGATTTGAAAACTCTAATCAATCGTTAAAGTTTTATTTTTTACAATAACAGATCAAATAAATAAAATTTAAGTCTCATTTAAAATAAAAGCATCTATTTATAATTGAAATTGAGCAAACTTAACTCTAAACTTGTCAAATAAAAATATAATGACTTCCAATGTGAACAAATGGGCCAAATGAGCAATGATAATACTAATTTAATAAGACAATCACATTAATATATACAAAAACAGCAATTTAGTTTTGCATCGGCACATTGAAAAGCACTTTAGGATAATTTAAACTGCACTTAAGAAATGCAAAATAAAAAACATCTTACACAGATAAGTACGGAACATGATCATGATGCCTCCACCAATGATTTATACTGAAAAAAATAATCGGATTAGGATGACAGGTCGATACACTACAATTTTAAAATTTACGAACTACTGCAAGCACGTGACGTTAATGCGAAAGAAAATAATGTTAGTAACAGAAGTATTATCAACATAGATGTAATGACTACAAGAAACTATACATTTCTCGGAAATGTTTATTAAATTTTCGAGTTACAGTGTTTTAAAAGGAATACGCAATAGTCTCAGAATAGTACACTTTGTTGCGAAATATTTTTTATTCATTCTCTCTTGAAAATTTATCAGCCCGTATTTTGAAATTACAGCGTTTATATACAGTGCTATTTTTTTAAAACCTGACATAGGACAACTTTTTTATTTGAAGTGATAGACTAGTACTTCCAAATGCAAAGTTGTAGGAAATAACTTGCTTAAAAAAAAATTACAAATATTTCTTCCCGGTGTTGCCAGATTTCTGCAGTAGTTTACTAAAACGATATTTTTTTAAATGGCAACACCATATTTTTATAAAATAATTTGAAAAACCTTGAAATTCTAAATAAGAAATGTTATGTACCTGCTGCAGTCAGCAGGAACTAAAAGAAGCTAACATGGCAATAGTAGGCTTTGGATATTAAACAAAAATTGTGTTGTTTGAAAGGAGCCATCATTATTGTGCTGTCATTGTGGTATTTGACAGCTGTTGTATTTGAATGTGTACAAAAATAACGTTTTAATTAAGTTGTTAAGATGATAAGAGCCTTTTGCAGATCCTTGGCCACACACTTCCAGTTGTTTTTAGTTTTACTAGTTATTTTTATTTTTTAAAAACTCCGGATTTGGAAGAGGCTTATCAGGAATGTCTTGCCTGGAATTAAAAATTAATTTTACTTTCCCTTGTGGATTGATTGTGGAACCGATTCATCTTAGCAACTGAATTAAAACATTTTTTTATACACATTCAAATACAACAGCTGTCAAATAACACAATGACAGTACAATAATGTTGGCTCCTTTAAAACAACACAATTTTTGTTTAATTTCCAATGTTAGCTTTTTTTAGTTCCTGCCGACTACAGATTATTTTCGTTGTTTTTGCCGATTGTTCTAAAACAACTAATCCAAAAAAGAAATGCGACATAACATTTTTTATTTAGAATTTGAAGGTTTGTCAAATTATGTTAAAAAAATACGGTGTTGCCATTTAAAAAAATATCGTTTTAGTAGTTACTGCAGAAATCTGGCAACACCGGAAAGAATTATTAGTAAATGTTTCTTAATCAAGTTATTTCCTACAACTTTGCATTTGGAAGTACTAGTCTATCACTTTAAATAAAAAAGTTGGCCTGTCAGGTTTTAAAAAAATAACACTATATTCCTTTTCGAATACCCTGTAAATTGGTTGTCGAATGATTTTTGTTATAAATAGTGGTTTTTGGGGACATACTTTTCAAACTAATTATGATGATTCATTTTATAATCTATGGCCTGCTGTATATTTTTTTGTGAAATTTTTTTTAAACCGGCTTAGTCTTAAAGAGTGACTGCAAAAATCGCCCGTTTTTTCACAATTCGCAGAGAACTAAAGAAAATAGATAAAAATATGTTTTTTGGTCTCAAATTACTTGTAAAAAAATAAGATGAGCATAGCTTTTAGTTTTTTGAAAATTTTTAAAAATCTTCCCTATTTACGGGTTGAAAAGGCACCCAAAATGAAGAATTGAATATTACCAATAAATATAAAAACTATTAGCATGTGAATTTTTCTGTCGAATGATTCTTGATACAAAGAAAGATTTATTGCGCGCTCAGGGGGTGGAATCATCTCCAAAAATAGAGAATATCAGAAATAATTGTAAAAATTCCAAAAAAATATATATTAAGATAATTCACATGCTAATAGTTTTTATATCAATTCGTAATATTCAAATTCTTCATTTTTGGCATTTTTTCAACCCCTAAGTAGGGGTAATTTTTAAAATTTTCAAAATACTAAAAGTTATGCTCATTTCAGCTTTTACAAGTAATTTGCGACCAAAAACATATTTTTACGTATTTTTTAAATTCCCTGCGAATTGTGAAAAAACAGGCAAAAATCACAGGTTTTTTGTGGTCACTCTTTATCAAGTGACTTTTTCGGTTTAAGAATTTATGAAGTGCTGAAAATGTCTGAAAATGAAAATCTTGCAATTATAAATTATTTGTATCCAATAGTTTTCCAAAAATCGTTTCCAAAGAAAATTGCAGCAGGCTATGGATTACCTACTAGATCATTTTAAGTGGTTCGATAAGTACATCTAGAAAGCAACTACGAATAAAAAAAATAATTCTGATAGTGCGTCCCAAAAAAATTTCAGTGTCTTGGTCTACATTATTTTCTCATTAGAAGTACAATGCAATGAACATTATGTGAAAATTATTGAAAAATTACCTATAACGTTTCAAGAGCAGAATATGTTAGAAAATTGAATCAGGTTAATTAAATGAAAATAAATGTATCGAAGATAATTTTTCAAAATAACGTTTTTCTGTTGAAGAACATGAACATGTTACAAAATAGTTGTTTTTCTGAAATAAGTTCTATGTTCAACTAAGTAAAATGTATTATTATTCCTTTTTAAGACTAATGAAACAATTTAGAATATTTTCTGGAACAAATTTGGTAAATTTTTTTTTTAGTGAAAAACGCATATTACATTTATTTGTTTTCATTATTTCTCATTTTTTACTCATTTTTTTTATTTTATACCCTGATAGATCACAATCTTCTATTATATTTGATTTATTTGTTTTCATCGATTCTCGTTTTTTACACTATTTTTTTTTTATTTTATACCCCGATAGACTGGCACAGTATTCAGTTACATTTGATTGCTTTTCCTTTCCGAAGTATCAGAGATACATCAACATTGCAAATAGAAGGACAATCCCTGAATGAATATAACTACACCGAAGTGTTTCAGTAAAAAAGTTTCCTCATCACCAAATTTATTCCACAAAAACAACTCTCGTATGACACGAGAATAGCAAAAACTTTACACTGTAATTAATTGTAACACAAACTATTTTCAAAAGAAGCAAAAGCTAAAATAGTACCTTAGGGATATAACGTACAGCAAAATACAACCTGAAGCACACCTCTTAACTAGACGCTACCTACGGAAATGTTTATATGTTAACGTAAATATGTGGCTCACACCTCGCTCGTAAGTAAACCAAAAAATAAAAACAATGTGTGTCTATTATGACTTTAATTACGGAACATATATACATCAACTAACAGATATAAACTATAAGGTCACTGCTACAACGAAAAACGTTTTTACTTCATGCTTTCTAACTGAAATATGTACAATGCATTCATTCACTGAAACGAGTTATTACCTTGGTCAAAACAACTAGGATTTATCAAGTTGATGAGTTCGTTTTCAGTGAGAGAAGTGAACGACTGCGGAATCATCCGGTCCTCGTTTTTCTTGTCGTTCTGCGTCGTGGTGATTTCCTTTACGGGTATGGGTATAACAAACTCAGACTTTTGCTCCTTGTGGGCCACTGGTGAGTTTAAATTTGTACATGTGTCGGCGAATTGAGGTTGTACGAAATTGTTCCCTGGGTTGTCTTGTAATTGACTGAGTGAGTGAGGACTTCTGGAAGTCATCATGATGTCACACTTTGCAGAATTGGTCCCTAGTTCAGAAATTTTCTTCTGGGTTTCTAAGAAGTCAACTGCAGCTTTGAATATAACCGCCTTTTCTGGTTCGGTTGCAAGATTGACAGAAATGGGGGAATGTAAGGAATTCAGACTCTCCGCCGATGTCTGAGATGTGTTGATGGTTTGTTGTGATGGCAGCAGGCTCGATTCCACCGAATTGGTGGTTGAGCAAATATTCAAATTAGGAGATGGCAAAAGTGCGTCTTGCTGAAGACTGCTCGTGCTGCGACACATAAGGCTGGGAGATATCTGCGAATTTAGAATAACCTCAGCGGGAAGGTTCGGAGCAGCGTGAGAATTACTGATCTCCTGTTGCCCGAGGACGGGGGAAGGCATTCTGGTGTTGATAGTGGGAGGCACCAACAAATTTGAGTGGCTGTTAAGCATTACATCCTGAGAAGCTATCATGACCTCAGAAGGGTTACTGTTTGTTGTCACCAAAGGCATATTGTTTGTGATTAAGACATCTTTCGGAGCTGTGTCATTTTTTCTAGGGCTTAGGTGAGACTCCACCGTTGAATTGACCAAAGCATCTAATTTTTCCGTGTTAATTGGCGTAGGCACACTTCTTTCGAGTGATGTAGCCATGGTAGTAATGACAGATGATGACATCGCAGTTGTCTGTTCTGGCAAGGTTTGTTCAGCAATATCGGCTGCTTCGGATTTTGCGACAATGTTAATAGCCTCGTTCTGAGTCGTGCTCGATAGGAATGGCCTAGACGAGCTTAAATATACGGGTTCCGGGCCGGTAAGTGCTGTTGTTGCACCTAAATGTGACAAACTTTCAGTGGTCGTGGATAACATACCGCAATTTTGACCTGTTATTATCTGCGAGTTTAAGACTTTCTGTGCCTGAAAGACACTCTGTTCTGCATTTAGCATCTGTGTAAGTTTTTCATTCAAGTCACTCTTCATCAACATATTCGTTGAATTACTGATTGTAAGTAGTGAAGGTTTCGATTCAATTTTGGTGAGATAATTTTCAACGCTCTGTGCGCTTTGTGTAGGCAAAGGTCCATTTGTATGCTCCATTCCAAATCCGTGTAAAGCGGCCATAGATGGGGCTGTCGTGTTAATAAGGTCGGCAACTGTGGCCATCGGCATTTTCATTCTCAAGTCTATTACTTTTTCGACAGCAGTTGCGCTGCCACTCGATGCCAGAAGACTCGCGGAATGAATGTGCTGCGACAGGCTTTGCCTCTCGTTAACAGAATTGCTGCGGCGCAACGGGGTACTACAAGAACTGTTCTCGTTTATAATAGACATATTAGAACCTGGACAGTCTAAAGAACTTTCACAAGCTGAAGAGATAGGTCGGCTCATGGAATTTCTGCGTATTATCGCATCGACACTGTCCTCACATCTGCCGATTGAGTTCCTGCGAACCATGACGTCTATACTGTCTTCATTGCCAACACTTATGTTAGAATTCTCATTCATATGACCCAACGAATTCTGATGGATCATGTCCATAGAATTTTCGTTGATCATAGATACATTAGAGTCCCCATGATGCACGTCGAGTGAACTTTCAGATAAATGTCTGTACCTTTCATGGTCTGCAATCGATCCCTGACTATTTTCATCAATATATTCCTGCTTTAATGTCTGTATAGGCGGACTGTGGATTTCGCTAGTGGAGGGTAAACTTAAAGAAGGACGTCTGGTAGCCATCGGTACCAAACTGGACTCGGGTGGCGGCATCATGTCTAAATCTTGGTCCCGCTTGGTTACACCAGCCGAGTTCCAAAAGTTACCCTTAAAAAATTGTGCCGGTTGAGCCGGTGGTGAGGGATCGATGTGAACTGAAAAATACAAAAATGTATATTAGCTACTGGTTCACGTACAGTGGGATATTAAAACTAAGAGCCGCCATCATAGCCACTGTAAGAAAAAGGGGGAGGACTTGCCACTCAAGCCAAACATAACTTTTAAAGCGTATTATTTGGATTGATAAACGGAAAAATGAAGAATTCCTTGGTTTTTAATGTTTTAAAATAATTTTGAGTGCCCTGGCTTGATAGACATGACCCACAATGTTGACGCTCCGAAAACACTCACAGATGCACTCGTCGCAAATTCAGACCATCCACTCATCGGACTCACTCTTTACTAACCCTATAATAAAGGATTTTCGGGATAAATGAAAGAATAATATGATCAATAAATACTTCAGGCTAAAATATTTTTTTGGAAAGTCATTCAGTAACAAGAAACCTCTCTACCCAAATGGTCCGTTTTTGTGTTAGATTTCGATTTTAGCCACCACCAAAAAATGTTTAACTACAACATTCATCAAATTTTAAATAGGTAGCCTGAAATAGTTTAGTAAAGTGTAAACACTTAAAACTAAGCGATTAATGAATTAGGATGATAATGAGGTGTTAATACCCTAGTGTAAAATGATGATGAGGCGATATATGTCATCTAAATACTTTTATTATATTGTCAAAATATGAAATGAAATCTTGTTTGCTATCTGCAGAAGTTAGTCCAGCAAATAATAAAGGGAAAGATTTCACTTCACTATGTTATAATAATTCATAAGCTTAACTGAAATTAACTTAAAATTGCCACCACCGATGTCCCTCATGATAAATTTAACAAAGTCGTAGAGAGGATTCTTTGGGGATCAAAGTTGGGATGTGCGGGACAAACGGGAATAAAACAACTAATTTCATTCATAAAGGAAGATTCATCTCAAGCACACTATGCGTGAACATTACAGGTCGAAAATCAGGGTATTCCTCGAAGTTGGTATCCCTGTAAAAGAAAAAACTTGCCCTTCAGATGCACAGTACCTAAAAATGAGGGTTATTGGTTGTTTCCTGGAAAGTTGGAGGCTGTCTTATTTTTAAAATATCACTTAATATGTGCTTAAATAAGTTATAGGTTTACATAGGAAAAGTGAATTTTAAATTAATCTAAATTTAATTCAAATTAAAATTAAGGTATAAATGTGTAATGATAACAAGTTTACGCTTGTTTTGTGGGTTGGATTTGGGTGTATGACATGTTCAATGGAAAATCCAAATTAGCTAAAATTCACTTTCACCTCAAATTTTATTGAGTCCCAACACAACTTTGTTTAAATACCTTCTTAAGTTTTTAATTCAAATTTTAGTAGTCATCAATAAAATGACAAAATTCAATATAGAGGAAGTTATTATGACCGCTATAAATGATTACAATGTAAATCCGACACCAACAATTAAGGTATGATGATGATCTCATGTGTAAATTTATCACCGACATCTATATTTGCAAATTTGTAAGAATTATACATTAATAATAGTAGGGATATGAAAAAATAATTATATAAAATTTGTACAAAATATTTTATGCGTAAAATAGTACCTGCAACACCTTTAAAAAGTTCAAATTACTCATATCATTGATGGCTGCGGTACTCATACTTTTACAGTTAATTACACAAAAATTACATACTTCTAGCTTTAGCTGAAGGCATAGACATTTTTTTATATTCAACTTGCCTTCCAACAATTCCATGCATTTTTCAATTAAAAAATTGTGTGTTGTAAAGAGCGGGCCAAATTTATTGAGTTTTGGGGTTACCTCGGAAACAGTGCGAGACAGAAAGAAACTGATGCACGCCTCCTGATCCCTCTTTTAGAGAAAAAAACAATGACTCAAACTGCAACTCGGCATTTTTTTTCATTTTTGAAGTACAGAGTGAATCTCAGAAAAACATTCAGCATTTTTGGTAGTTTTCTACTTTCCAATAAAACTTACCCTCCAGATTCAACTGAATTTGGCCCACTTTGTGCATCGATATGGAATTTATAAATACACTAATAGTACCCAGTACAAGGACCTTGGGGTTCATTGGCACATACAAGTGCCAAACTTTGTGAGTGCCTTCTCTTGTCAACTTGTCCGACAAAAATCATGCTTCGTATGGGGTAATAGTTTAAAAATGTCTAGGTGGGTTTTACAGGGTCTAACGACACTTGGGGTGTACGATACTTCAAGAAACATAGAATGAGAAAGTGTTCTTTTTTCAATATCACCTCAAACAAGGCTGAAAACGAAATTTTGGAAATCCGTTTTTGTTTCAAGTATTTCGTAAACTAATCATATCATGTTAGCCTCGATTTTTTAGAGGCATAATGTTGGTCCCCTGATTATGCAACTTTGCCCCCATTTAAGCTACTTCGTATCTCTTACCGTTTCTGAGATCTCTGTAGTGAGAAGTGAATTTGTAACATGACAAATTATATATAAAGTAAGTGTTTCAACAATATTTCTGAATATTTACGAAAACAAGTATGCCATTTCGTGATCAACTTTTTTTCATTTTCTTGTCGGACTGATTACACAGCCACACAAAAAATAAAGTTGTCTGTACTTTTGATGCGACATATGTTATCCGTAGTATTTTTGCCTCCTGATAACGCATCTGGTGTCAGAATTGAGCTATCACAGGAATTTCCTAACCTCAAAAAACAGGTTAAAAATAGCAAAAATTCACGAAAAAGTGCTAGGAAAAATACAAAAAAATGTTTTTTCTATATTAAAAAAAAATAACAGATTCGCGCCAAATTTGGTATACGGGGTTTTTCGGGGTCGCTGATCACGAATCCGAGGTCAATTTTGCAAAATTTAAGATGGCGGATCCAAGATGGCCGACCAAATTTTCAAAAAATAACCCATTCGCGCTAAATTTGGTATACGGGGGTTTTCGGGGTCGCTGATCACGGGTCCGAGGTCAATTTTGCAAAATTCAGTATGGCAGATCAAAGATAGCCGAACAAATTTTCAAAAAACAACATTTGTGCCAAATTTGGTATACGGGGATTTTCGAGATTGCTGATCACGGATCCGAGGTTAATTTTGCAAAATTCAAGATGGCAGATCCAAGGTGGCTGACCAAATTTTAAAAAAATAACACATTTGCGTCGAATTTGGTATACGGTGGTTTTCGGGATCGCTGATCACGGCTCCGAGGTCAATTTTGCAAAATTCAGGATGGCGGATCAAAGATAGCCGAACAAATTTTCAAAAAACATTTGTGCCAAATTTGGTATACGGGGATTTTTGGGGTCGCTGATCACGGATCCGAGGTCTATTTTGCAAAATTCAAGATGGCAGATCCAAGGTGGCCGATCAAATTTTATAAAAATAACACATTCACGTCGAATTTGGTATACGGGGGTTTTCGCTGATTACGAATTCGATGTCAGAAATGCAAAATTTGCATTTAGAATCCATTTATCTATCATTGTTATTTTTGTCTGACATGTATGTACCGAGAGACATAATAATGACGTCATATCGACATTTTGGGGGTGGTGAACACCCCATACGCAGCATGATTTTTGTTGGACAAGTTGACCACAATGTTTTAAATATTTTTAATAAACAATTTTGAAAAAATCAAACTTGTATGTACCGAGAGACATAATGACGTCATATCGACAATTCTGGGAATTGGCCGTTCAAAAACGCGGCGGCGCCGAAAGTTTTCACAGAGGAAGAGTTTGTCGGTCTCGTCACAAAGAAAGCACTCAAAGTGAAACCTAAGATCCTTGTACTGGGGACTATAAAGGAAAATTTTCAAGATCTAATACTCCAGTGCTATTAAAGTACTATTTGTTCCTATCAATGTGAGGTAAAAACGGACAAAAGTTTATTCCGTTAATCGTAACAAATAAGAAATATAGATGTCAATGCAGCTACAAACATTATTATTTTCATTTTCTTCCAATTTTATTTCCACACATATATAATTTTAAGTTTGTATCCATGTCTATTGAAGTCAAGAATTATTCCAAATATTTTCCATTGGATGTACTATATTGACAGATATCCGAACGTATGCGGGGTACTAACAATGTAAAAGTGTTATACTGAGTACTGAATCGATGAAAATGAGATTTATGAAAGATGGCCACTATCATCTCATTCAACCCTCTGCATTCCAGTCTTTCTCACGACGCCTCGCTTGGTTAAAACCGAGTACTGCAAAGCAAGTACAGATAAGCTAAAATTCGTGCGCAGCTCAACTTTAACCAAACTCGGCAACTCCTCTGATTGAATTCAGTGATGGAAAGTGAATTTTAACCACAGAAAAATGATGGAAAATGTTTGTGTGATTGTGTAGGTGTGTAGGTATAGTGTATGTGTTGTAGTGTAATGTGTGTAAAATGATGTATCTTGTGTTTTTTAAGTACCCGTGAAACTAGAACCTGAACGACGCGTCATCGGAGGACGAAGGTTAGGCCCCGCAGGCTGAGAGAAGACGTTGGCAGGCGGCCCCTCTGCGTATACAGAGCCTGTATGCTGTACGAGACAAAGTGAAAAGCAAACGCAATTGAAATTTGTAACAACTTTGGTGCTCATACATGAAACAATAGTCTTTCGACACAGAAATGATTGCAAAGTGTTTTGACATAGCGTTCATGATACACTGAGAGATTTAATTCCTTTTAAGTAGTAATTTTAGGAATCCTTAATTTTTTCGCCGGTCAAAATATTTTGCAGTACAAAATGAAAAACAAATAACTGGGCTTTGGTATTATTACATATTGATATGTAATGTTTACAAAAATATTTTTAAAATAATTACATGTCAGATTCTGAGGATAAAATACATTTCACAAGTTGATAAATTTACATTTCAAATGAATGTATAAGTTACATTTCAAAGACATAAAATACATAAATAAAAAATCATACTTTCTATCAATGTTTTTTCGTTGTAATGAAGAATTCTTCCTAAATAAAGACAAAAAAAATGCAAAAGATCAAATATTTGTCTGCTTCCAAAGCCACTGGAAATTTTGGGGGCTACATTATTCCCTCGTACAATTAATTATTGCACAAAACATCTATTTCACGAATTCAATACCTTACGGCTTCCATTTAAACTGTGACAAAAACTTACTTAGAGCAAAGACTAACTGGGATAATATAGCCCAATCTGAAATCGTTGGGGCAAACGATGTACTACTGCAGTCATCCAAAGCCCTTCCGTACAACTATCGCAGGCTCATAAAAAGCATGCGTTCATATCCTTTCATTTCATCCTCAAATGCCCATTCACTCTAACAGCCACACTTTAGTACACGTTTGCCGCCTATAAAATTCACAAATGTAAGGTGAAAAATCTTCAGAGCACCAGCAACAACAACTATAACACAAAAAATAATTCCATTAATTATTTCCGTTTCGTCTCGATTACTGATAAAATGTAATGCCTATTAAAAGGAATAGTAATTTTTCACCTTCATACGCTTAGGAAAGTATTACAAAAAAAAGTACTGTTCTTCTGTATTTTAATTTATACGACTTTAGTAAAAACGATACAACCAGTAACAGATAGGCATTATCTTCTATATAAACTGAAATTAAGAAAAACACTTTGTAATAACTTCCTTAACTTGCTCATTCAATTAATTCCATGCGTAACATGCTATAAGCACTGATTGACTTAATTATTATTGTTGTTTTGGTGCTTGACTGCATAAAGCAAGACAATAAATGTTAAAAACAAGTAACAACACGGAAAAAGTCAACGATCACCTGTTTTTTTCTATACTACCGTGTTGTATTTAATCTTTTTAAAGAGCTTACTTCCCTTCAAGGAACAGTTTATAAAATTATGTTGTTGTTGTAAAGATGGTATTATACATCGCGGTCGAAATTATAGAGAGTGACTCAGACATAATATAAAAACACTATTACCATAATGCGTACAAAATATAAAATGATTTTTATAACGGTTCAATACAGTGGGGGGGGGGGGCATTTTGAAAAGAGGGCGTACATCATAAGAGCTGTGGGGGTGTGGGGGGCGGTAGTTCCCCGCTTAGCGCCGCAGACGAAAAATTTTAAGGAGTATGTACTTAGATACAATGCGAGAAGTAAAATTCCATGTGGGGGCTGAAGTGGATAATCAATCAACCAACCCAGTTAGGATATAATTATGTAGATTACTGTAATAGTTCATTCTGTATAGTTTTGAAGTTCCTTTAAAAACATGGGCATCACTAAGATGTTTATTTAAAACGAGATCAATTTTTGCACTAGTCTATGAGTTCTAAAAATACCCCTTTGTTTACCGAGTCACTTTTTTTATTATGTCCACGAAGAGGAAGGTTACATGTACCACATAGTTTTAAGATATCTATAATTTTTGAAAGAAGCAATCGATTTTTCTTAACTGTTTCGTTGTGACTATTTATTTGTTCTGCATAAGCACTACTTAAACAAGAAGCAATATTTACTCTTCCTAAAAGTAAAAAACTCACCAACTTATTTTTGTGTTTAGGAGAATTTTTGTTTCTTAATTTTGTTCGGTAAATGTTTCAAGTCAGAAACTCCAGTTTTCACCCAGTTTTCTTCACCTCCTCCAAACAATAAACATACAAACAAAAAAATCTATTTGTTTCGTCACAACTACACAACCACAGGGTCTTATCATAAATGATTTTATCAAATTTGCGAATAAAAGCCTTTTGCACTCTCTCTGCACCTGAACTAAATTCAACACTGGCGTTGGACGTCCGTTATTTTTCAATTCGTCTTTTTTCTCTAAACTTAAATTACTAATAACAAGTTTTTTTATTTCACAAACCCTCATTTTAAACTTAAACTTATAAAATATAATGTCTTAAAAAGCGCTAAAGCAAAATCTAAACACTTATAACCACACCTCAGTGATACAGGTTACTGCCTTATGGAGTCCCAAAACAAAGCGTGCGAGCCTATCGTCGCCTATCCCCTCCACGTGCCAATTTGTCCAATCATATGTAAAAATATGCTTGCACGATGGGCTCAGATTTCACAGTCCGCGATGGAGTGGGGATTGCGCGCGCGGTCAAACATAACTCTTTGGTAGGATCATAGATGGCAGATGGCATTAATCTTAGCTTCGTTCACGGAGTACATGCACTTTATGCAACCAACCTAACATCCAAGAGATATTGAATGCATGCTATTTAGATTTCTTATTGATTTGAATAAATACATTATTTTAGGTTTATAGTTTGAAAATATCTGGGGGGGCAGAGTCTAAGAGTCCTCCTTCACGAGCTGCCACTGGTTCAATATTATTTATCTTTGTGCCACTCGCTACGCACATTGATAGAATCTGTAATCGTCTATAGACTGAGTTACACTGAAAGTCGATCTATATTCTAACTTTGTCTTTTGCACTTGGTAGGGAATAGGGAAATGCTTTTTTAGTGGGTGTAAACGCACGTGATTTACCCGTCCTGAGAAACGTCATAGTATAAGCGTAGACGAGGGGTCTAATTCCATGGCTATAATAAATTTATAAATTAAAAAAACACAACTGGGACGTTTTAAAATGCTGTAATAATTAAAATGGATCAAAGTGCCGGTTATAGCAAACCGCAAAAAATATTAGATGTTATGTTTTATTACCTTTTTTCAATATTTTCTATTGTTACCTTTTACCCAGACAGGCCAATGGATTTTCGTTCCGGGCACGCTTCATCCCCCTTACTAGTCCAAAAGCTAGCGATGAGTCACGCTCTATAATTTCGACCGCGGCGTATAGGCATCAAAATGCATGTCACAATTTTTATTTTTTTTTCATCTAATGAAATGTCAAAACAACGACATTAAGTCAATCATTTTTTGAAATGTTAGAAGTACAAAAATCATTAGCTTACCACTGGGCATAGCCCCGTTAACGGGCGTATATACAAACTGATGGGGTTCACTTGTTTTACCGCTCGATACCACACATAACCTCACCGATACCGGTTCGGTTATGTCGGGTGTGCGATAAGGTGGTATTACACATACGAAATGTGTCTGAAACAAAGAGAAACTTTTTGAAGAATACGACATTAATAATAAGCTTTTTCTAAAGCTCTGTTCTACACATTTTTTTTATTCCAATTAAGGTCATATACGGGGTGTCCCATTTTAATTTATACACATACATATCTCGTCAGAGAAGCCACCAATCGAAAAATGTCCTAAAGTAAAAGTTGTTCAGTTCACTGGGGAAAAAACCAGAAGCTTACCTACAATTTGACCTTGACCTCACCTTGAAGATCAATTGAAGGTCAACTTCGGAATTTTAAATGGGACCCTTCGATTCATCCTTGACCTCCACTTTAGATCAGATCTTGGGAAAACGATAAATTTGTATCCAAGTACGCTGCAAAGCAAGGGATCAAATAAAAAGATCATTTGAAGATCAGATGAAGATTTAAATCCAGAATACTAACTTAACGACAACATAATTCAGTGGCTCACAAATAGTAGTGTGATGTTTTTATTATTTCTCAATTTCTCAATTCACCATCAGTCAGTTTTACTTTGTTTGTAACGTACTAGATATCTCTTTTTTCAATTCTCAAGCGAAATTATACCTTTGTTGTAGCAAGATATTTGTATCATTCTCCCCTCACTCGTTCATAACATTATTTTTTCCTACAATTATTATAGTCGACCTTCAAATAACCTTGACAAAGTGGAGGTCAAGGACGAATCGAGGGTCATGATTGAGTACCTTGATGTAAATGAGGGTGATGAATCATTTAAACTTGTTGTGACCTTGACCTTGACCTCAAGGCCAAAGTTATGATCACATCCGGATGTAAAATTTTCTGCTGAATCCATTTCCAAGGTTAAAAATAGGGGGTCCCATTTAAAATTCCGAAGTTTACCTTCAATTGATCTTCAAGGTGATGCCAAGGTCAAATCCTAGGTAACCAGCTGGTTTCCCCCAATGAACTAAACAACTTTTCCGGCCATAGGCCATTTTTCGATTGGTGGCTTCTCTGACGAGATATTTACATGTATCAATTAAAATGGGACACCCGGTATAAGATGAGTAGTTGTCACCTCAGTTGCAGATTACGAGATATGGTACCGCTAGTAGGCAGTGTCATACCCTTTTTACGCACCATGCACCACAAATCTAGAATTATCTAATCATCTCGTTATATACAGGGTGTTTTCAAAAGAAGTAACACAAATGGTACTGGCGAATCTACAGCTAAAAAGAACGTGTTTTGCAGAAAAATTACCTTAGTAAAATGTTCACCCCTTAGGAGACAAAGCCTCTCAAACTTTCCAAAGAAATATAGAATAACGGGTGTATTTTGAAAACCAAAGTCAAATTTTAGACAAATTTCTGCTCCTTGGAGGGGGTTGAAATAAACATCCCCTAAGTTATTTTTTGCTACAACTTTTTGGTGCGACAAAAATTGAATATTCGAAAATACATATCAGATAGCCTGGTTTATTTTAATCACATTACAATTAGCACGATTGTAACTAAGAAATATTTAAGTAGGCAGCTGTCGTGGTAATTTCTGTCGTTAAATCTGTTGTGATTTTGCGACGAAGAATGGTTAAATGACTATTTTGACCTCTTCGATTTTTTAAAATGGTTGATATTCGATCTGCTCGGTAAAAGTGCATGTGCATCGGACGTGGTTGATATATTGTCTACAGTTTATAAACAACATGCCTTGAAAAGATCTCAAGTGTATGTGTAGCATTCGCGATTCAAAGGCGGTGACATGGCGATCGAAGACATTCAACGCCCAGGTCAGCCTTCCACGTCCAGAACTGATGAAAACGTGGAAAAAATTCACGCATACAAGGACAGAAGGTACTATTGATCTTGCTGAATTATCTGGTTTCTTGTGGAGCTCAGTGCAACACATTTCAGCTGAAGATTTGCAAATGAGACAAATTGCAGCGAAATTCATCCTCTACTTCTTGACTTCTGATCAAAAGCGACTCGTGCCTCATCAGTGAGGATGAATCACGGTGTTATGGGTACCCTGAGACAAAGCAACAGTTGTTGCAGTGGAAGGCCATGAAATTCCCTCGCCCGAAAAAGGCACGCCAAATCAAATTGGGCGTGAAGACAATATTGATATGTCTTTTCGGCGTTTATTGCATTGTTCACTCAGAGTACATCATGTATGTCAAACAGTGAACCAAGTCTTCTACCAGAGTGTTTTGAAGAGGTTGCACGAGAATGTTCGGTTGAAACGACCCCATTTGTGACGGAGTGGGGACTGGTTCTTCCATCAATTTCACCAGCTCACCCAGCCATCTCTGTGCATGATTTTTTGCTGAAAAACTACATGACACCGCTTCCTCGCCCACCAAACTCAGCAGATTTGACATCCTGTGATTTTTTTTTGGTGATGAAAAGGGAGCTGAAAGGGAAAAGTTTTGCAGACATTCCAGAGGTTAAAAGAAAGGTGGCGCAGCAAGGCATCGGAAAGGACCAGTACGAAAGGTGTTTGGAGCAGTGGAAAAAACGTTTGAACTGGTGTATTAGTATTAATGGAGAGCACTGAAAAGGTGACTAACATTTGTAACCCGAAAAAATAAGTTCTATATTTTTAAAAAATAATGTCCCGTATTTTTGGGTGTTCATAGATTGAGGTTATGTATTAATTCTCCTACCAACTTTGAGCCATAGGTCCGCCCATTCAGTATTCTGTGTAATTTAAATTTTTTCTAGATTTGTGTTACGCATGTAGCAAACTACAACTACCCGACTTACCTGCTGTAAATATTCCTTGTCCGGAACGACAGCCTTCTCCCACAAAAGATGCCCTTCCTCAAACAGCTGAAAGTAGACCTTGGTGTCCTTGAGAAAATTTTTACCAAGCACGAACAGCTCCAGGCCGCCGCTAGCAGGACACGAAGTTAGGGATTTTTTGCAGATTTCCGGTACTCCAGGAGGTTGTGCTACAAAAACCAATCACCGTTTAACCACCAACAGTCATTTATTAAATAAAACTTACTGCAAACGATGGGTTGAGAACAAGCTTGTAGAGTTTCCTGTGTGCCGTTATCAAGGGTGATGGTGGTTCTGAAGATCATCCGACATCTTGTGGATTTCTTTTTACTCCTGTTGCCTAACTGGTCGGGAAACCGATGTTCTACATCTACGTTCCTCTCCTTTAGTATTCCTACGCAGTCGCACGTAGCGCTCATCTCTTTAGAAGGGTCCAGTTGCAGTTCTATTACGCAAGTCCCATCGATTTTCTTTTCGAGGCAAGGGGTGGAGTTTTTGCCGCTAACTTTACACGCCTGATAGAACATGTGCGGGGATACCTTACCTATGTCTGTACCTATAAATACCTGAAAATAAATCAATAAATCAAAACACTCGCTCTCTCGATGTGTCATAGTAAGGTTTACTTGTAATGTCGTCGGTTTATGGTAACCACTAAGTTGAACGATAGGAAAACCATTTCCTTCTCTGTCTTTAACGGCGCCCCTGCTGCCTTCTGTTTGATATCTAGCCCTATGTTGTTGTTCAGGCTGCTTAACAATCATTAAGGAAACATCCACTGCAAAAAAAATGAATCAGACTTTAAAATCATTCGATACAAGTTTTTAACAATGTATTATGGAATGTTGAGGTATAATAATTTTACTTTGTGGATATTAGGTACAATGATTATGAAAACAGCCTACACAAAGAATAAAGTTGTGGCAAAGACTGATTTTTACCTGGTCATATATATCTATTACTTTTAGCAAAATAGCCCCCAGCTTTTGGTTTCCTTTGTACCAATTTTACTACTTTATCTTCCCAAAACTTCTGTTATTCCATTTGTTTTTTATAATTTATTCTTTATTGTTGTTGGTTAAATATTCTCAACAAGAAAATAAGTAGTTATAGAATATCTTAAATGTGTCACTTTGGACTTTTAAGCCAAATTGATAATAAATGTTTTGATAACGAAAACAAGAACTTTTGAAAATGATGGATTGGGGGGGGGGGTGTAGGGTATTCTACAGTTGATATCTAAAAAGCTAAAAAGAGCCAAAAAAAAGGTTATGAAGTCACGGAAACGGGAAAACATATTTAATCAGAAAATTTTTAATCTATCTTTATTACTTAATTCTTTTTGATCTTTGGTTTGGCACATTTCATGTTTAAATTTTATATCAGTAACTGTGCGTGGGATAGGTGGGTTTAGAATCTTGGGGTTCAGCATTTACATTTATTTTTGTAATTTGCTATGCGAGGGATAGATAGGTAGCTTTAGAAGCTTAAAGTTTAGAATTTCAGTATAGGGCTGTTTGGTTATATTGTTATTGTGGGAGCTGTTGGAGCTTATTTCTGTTTAGTTCGTTCTTTGTCGTTTTATTTGTTCTAAAAAAAAAAAAATATATTTTTCCGAATCGCTCCCATGAGAATCTGGCACAGGATTAAAATTGTATTCAGTGGTAAAAGTTCAAAGGACTAACAGATTAGAAATCTTCCATATCTCCACCACTAAATATTTTTTAATAGTAAACTTTTTTCAGAAAGTGTAGTTTAATGCCTTTATTGTGTGTCCAAACAACAAACAGAAAACATTCACTCAGCTCTGAGATAGTGCCAAAAATAATTTTATTTTCTTTTTAACTTCAACAACCTGTAAATTTTAAACTCTTAATATTGGATATGGACTATGGACTTAATAAATGCAATATTTTTGATAATTTATCTTTCTCTGATTTTTTTTTAATTGCTGTAATCACCCTCTATATAAATATGCCCTTATATGCATTTAGAATTCTCATTAAAAATGATAATAAAGCTACATTAATTTTAAACTAACTGAATTTAATAGATGATGTAGCTTTTGAAACCTGAAGATGTTGTAAAACTTCATGAAAATATATAAAAATATTTAAGAGATAAATACTGCAAGAATTTTGAGATGACAGTTATTATTATAACTTCTCTTACAGGAACTTGTGGTTGTCAAATAAAAAGATTATTTATCTTTAAAGTCAATCAAATCCTTGGATTTAAAGTATGTATGTAACAAGATTATAACGTTACTAAAAACAACTAATAATTAATGTACATTCTCATTTTCAAGGTTACTCATATAGTACAGTTGTCAACACAGACCACCTAGACTGGCTTATAGAGCGACTTTGGTGAAAATACTTCGGTGCCTGATTTGGTGCCCAGCGCTCAGTCGTGTCCTAGCATTTGATGTGTACGCATTGCTGTGATTTCGATAATTAGACGTTTTATCATGGGCAAGTGTATTGTAAAACGTTGTATAAATACAAGTGATCGAGTTGGTGAAGATAAGCGAAAAGTTTCCTTCTTTACGTAAGTAAAAAAAAAAGGAATATATAAAATGTAAATATGTATGCCATTTTTCGGTTGACGTTACAAGTCTCCAGGGTTAGCTTTATAATTTTGTTCGCCCACATAGTGTAGTGATTAACGTGATATTGTTATTATAAAATAATGAATGAATTACTGTAAAATATTTTTAGTAATTATTTACTTTATGTGAGTCACAAGTTTTTATGAAATTTGACCAATTCCTGTCATTTCGAGATATCTGAAAATTAATAAAATATTTTTTTCAATTGAAAAAATCACAAACAAAACTAATTTCAAATTCATGTTCACGACCCTGGAAACGGAGAGTTGACAAAATGTGATTAGAAAAAATCAGTTTTGTGACAAAAAAAATAATTAGCAAGTACATTATAGTATATATTGGTGGTTTTGTAATAACAAGTTCTCTAATAAAGCCAATAAAATGTAAAGACTGTGTAAATAGTTTAATGTCAAATACACAGTATTCGTACAGTCATTAGTTTTTATTAAAGATAGTGGTTGTTTGAGGTATCCATCTCGAGATGTCGTAGTAATATGCCAAGAAATAGAAAAATTAATACATTTTTTTAATAATGATGAAAGCAGAACACCTAGGTTACAGAAAAATAAAATTGTTTATCATGTATTAAAAAACTTTCTGAATGTGAACATATTTGAAAATTTGCATGAACATCAATTTTCAATTTGCCTAACAATTGTAATCATTTAATAGAACTTGTATGGGCTGAATGTGAAAAGTATATCGATGTACGAATAAATCATGAAGTCAAATTATTTAATTCGGTAAAATCTACGAAAAGGCAAATATTAAATAAATTACTAATTATTTAGAGGACGATAAATATATTTAAATTATTTTGTAGTTTTATTTAATATGACACTAAAATATACTATTTTCTGAATTACAAACTTAAAATTGAATATATGTCATAAGATGCAATATAATGTTTAATATGTAATAAAAATATTACTTAATCCGGATCTGCTTAAAGATGCGCGCGATCAGATTGCCTTCCACACTCCACTTCCCCGGATTTTGCATTCACTGGTACCCGTGCATTGGAATTAGATACGGCCAGTCTAGGTGGTCTGTGAGTTGTCAACAATAAAAGTTTTCAACCTAAGTAATTTGCTTATGATTCCTCAAGCTTGAAACCTTTTGCAGTTTTAAGGTGTGAACATTTTTTTTGCTATGACTGCACCTATTTGCATATTATATTTCTAGCAAGATTGTTACTAAAAGAGAAACATTTTTTTTATTTAATTGAATATTTTTTATCTCACTGAAGAAAGAGAAATTTTAAATTTTAAATACATAACCCGTTTCAACAAAATGTTAATTTTACAAATTTCCATTTGGCTAAAGAAATTACATCACTGAAAAAATAGACAATTATTGTTTCCCTATAGACACCACAACATAACATACTACCCTGAAATTTTTTTAGTTTTCATTCTCATTGCAAAGAGTTAACTTTTTATGTTTAGTGCCTACCATGTGATTTTGAACAATTATTAATTTTTTTAGCGAGATATTTCTGGTTTGAAAAGAAATATTTAACCACCCCCTAGACCCTAGACTGATCCTTTTGCAGCAAAAAGTTATTATATAAAATTTTCTTTTCCTTCACTGCTGTAAAATATCCATAAATTAATATTGCAGAGTAAACACTTTTATTTAGCATGTTTCCTGCTGTCTTAAATGTGTGTTTCATTTCTTTCTAATTCTTAAAATTAGAGCATTGAATGTCATCCAAAAGAAATTTAGTGTTTAGTTCAATAATAAATTAATTGCTACCATAAAACAATAAATATAAATCTGTGAAAAAAATTTGCAAATCTCCATCAAATTTGTGAAGGTTAAATTGTAATCACTAATTAAATGTTTATCTAGAAATTTCCTAACATAATGTTTTTTTTTAAATATAAAATTATGTACAACTAATAATATTTCCTTATCGAAATATTAACAGTATTTATAAATTTAAATAAAACTAAATGATTTATATTTTCGATATAGGTCCTATTTTGTATAACAATTATATTTCATAAATGTTGATTACGTAGGTGAAAAATTTAGCACACGATAAAAGTACACAATTATTTGACAATATAAATTAAATGATACCTTTCTCTGTATTGTATACTTTGCGATTTGAATATTATTTGGATTTCGCTTAAGCAAAATTTGTTCATCAAATTTGATTACATCTTTAAACCCATCATAAAAAAAGTTAGTAAATATGGAAGAAGTTATCTGATATCATATAAAAGCTTTCTCTTTTGAGATAATAAATACTTAGATAAATGCTTGATATTGTACAGTCGTATCATAATGTAAATTTAAGGACAGATATTCTAACTATTATTTTGTTCTTTTGACGTTTTTGTTAAATATTTTCAAAGTGCAAATTTATATGGTACAGTTGCGATGCCGATTCTAATAAAATTGTACTTACTATATCTAGATGATGACAAAAGTTGTGCAGTAAGTGATACTGGTGCAGAAGAGGACTGCCTGCTTGAGAGGGGTATGCACCTAGGTACCGCTCTCCCAGAGGAGCTGCTTTGGTTGTTTGCTATGCTTAGAGAAGGAACTGAACCAGCTGGAGCAGTCCTTATCAAACTAAAAATAAATAAATAAATAAAATACAGTCAAATTTCATATTTGATGGGCCACAAACCATAAATTATTATAATTACTCTCTAAACAGAAAGCCAACTTGTAAATAAAGACAAAAAAAAAACAATACAAATTTACATCTGAAGTAGAAACATTTTATTAATATGTATTGAATACTGCTACAAAATTAATGATGTTACATTTTCTTGCAATTTCAAAGCAGTTCTTAAACAAATGAATGTTGCTTTTTGAAGATACAAGCCAAATATATAAAACATCCTGTGTATTTTTAAATATTGATAGAGACCACTTCCTCAGGATTACAGTGATAGTTAAAAAAAGATTGATTATTGCATTGTCCAATTTACTTATTGATACTTAGAGATATTATGGCACAAACAACTGTTGCCAACGACCAATAAGGCCAGTTTGGTATTTGGCACAGATCAAAAATGTTAATTAGGAATTTTTCGAATTTTTCTATAAACATTTCACAAAATTTACTGTTTTTATTGCAATATTCTACTCATACTACTTTGCAGACATCATTAGCTGAACTGACTCAAACCGCTGTAAATAAGAAATAATTGATTTTCGGACCCAAGTACTGTGGAGACTTTTGGTCAGTAACACAAAACCACAATTTCAGCTAATTTGACCGAGTACATTTTCATAAAGACAATGCGGGGTTCTCTGGTAATTTTTTGTGTCTTGATATTTATTAAATGGTACCTATTTTAGTTATTTACATTCTACAAATTTGACAATTGCTTTTAATTTCAATACAGGCAGTCCCCGAGTTACGTCGTTTAGAGTTGCGTCAAACAATATTTTAACACCAGTCCTCAAACTAAAGTCAGTGGTTTCGAGATATGTCATGGGCTATTTCATAATACTTTTAAGGAACATGACCCAAATTTTGAAAGAAGTTTTAATGTTAATAACAAAATTTATTACTTTATGTCAGTGTTATCGACAAAAGTATGAAAAAAAAGGAAACGAAAAAAACTGCAATTGATTCGTTTTTAAAACCAATTATTTAGTTTTATGGTTCTTTCTATTTTTTCAATTGTGCAGTAAGTATGTACCAAATATATGGTTTGTTTTATGAATAAGGTAAGATTACTTAATATTAATAGGTAGTTTTTTTTACATTATATGTTCTGATAGAACCTAACTTCATTTTATATAGTAATGGATGAAAAAAAAAAAAAAAAAATTTATCGACTTGCGTCGTTTTGTTTTACGTCATATATTTTGAGAACTGAACATGCCGTAAGTAAGAGGGCTGCCGGTATTTAAAAATTAAGTTATATATACAGGGTGTTAGAAATTTTACTGCCTTAATTTTAACAGACGATAGAATACATTAAAATAAACAAAAAAAAACTTACATAACATGGGTACATAATTCAACCATTTCCGAGAAAAAAAAATATCAAAATATCCAACTTGATGTACAAAAGTTCGATTAATTAAGGAATATTGACATAAACGCGTGCATAGAATACCATAAAATATAATGTTTATCATTTTTTTAAACTTCTTTATGCTTAATTCTAAAAAATAATTAGCGTTGTAATAAATTTAAAATTTGATAAAATTCGTGTCGAGCAATGTAACAGCTACCACCAATACGCAATTCAGTTGGATCGTGTCTGAGTGTTTTTTGTGTACCATTATTTCATTTTCTTGAGGTGTTTTCCAGCGAGTGCGCGAAAATTGGATTCGAAGATGTCGTGCGTGCATCGAAATTGGTGATGGACATTTTGAGCATATGTTGTAGTTTGTTTTGTACTTGTACGCTTAAAAATTACTGAATTTTGGTTTTTGGTAAGTACCTAAATTATTTTTAATACGTATTATAATTATTTGGACGGCGTGAATCTTTGTGTACATTAATTACATATTTTTCAAATACGTAATTTGATTAAAAGTTAAGTTCCTGTTTTAAGAGATTCATAATTACTAAAATTCGAGCTAAAATTTAAGCACAACACTATATTCCGACTACAAAATCGATATATTTTATTTTATTTATTTAAAAACTGGAAAACAAGCAGGTTAAGCGCTGTTGTCACGTTGTCATGAAACTCCCCAATATTAATACTCGCTGTATTATAAAAACTGTTAATCTTACGCCCCTGAAATATACAACTTTCTTGTTCATTTATGATTACTCTATCTCATGCTGAAGTAATGGCAGTCAAACTTTTTACACCCTGTATATGGAGGGTCCGATTTATAGGTGCAGTAACTAAAAAACAAATGAGGATCAATTTTTCAATGAACACTTTTTATGAATGTTTTTTTTTTTAATCCGACATCTAATATGATAATTATTCTAGATTCATTCAGAATATTCTCATGTCAATTTCTATAAATTTATTTACTTTTAAATTTGATATACAAATAGAAATGAGACTGTTCATATTATATTTTCATTTATTTCAATTGTTGTAGTACTTTATCATTTTGTATTAATTTATTTTACCGAATTAGTATCGAAAAAACGGTAAACTATTAATTTGCACCTTTTCTTGTAGAAAAACCTGAAAAAATTTATTGAAAAAAATTTAGTTGGTCACGCCAAACGGAATAGAATGAATTGGTACCAGAATTTTAAATCGTAGCAGGCTTAGGAATAGCAACATTGAGGAAGTTATAATTTTCAAATATGCTAATTCATAGTGTTAATTTAACTAAAAATATTTGAACTTGTTGACTTGTTTTTAACTTTACTCTGTTAATAGTCTGTACACCTATAAAACTGTTCACCCTGTATGTGTTGCAGCGGTATTAGACACAGGTTGAAAGTCTATCATGGTTTGTGGTTTGCTGTTATTATATCTGATTCTTACATATAAGTTGGTAACCTTAAAATTGATCAACAAATTGTAACACCTGAAAACAACTACTCCGAGGACTAAAGCCTAATGTTCCCTACAATATCATTAATTTTTATTATGTAATTAAAAACTTTTCTAAAAAGATGTCGAAAATATTACTGACAATTTCTTAAACAATTTATTGGACAAAAAATGTTTAAATATAAAAACCTTTTTAAACTGATTGATACTGAAGATATTTAACACTTAATACTTACGAAATATTGTCTTTACAACTTCTAGCCGCCTCAGGGAAGCAATAGCCATCGTTAACGTCATCATGCTCCAGTTTGATGTCCATCTTAGGTCTTTTAGCCTCTGCTCTCTCACCAGTCCATGTTAACCTCTCCGACATACCCATAATGTGGTGATGGGAATCCATATGGTGGTCGAAACTGATAAAAGTAAAAATTAGGAGAAGATAAAAACGATATATAAAACTTGCTGCAGTCATAATTATTTCTAGTATACGCAAATTTATTTGCGAGTTGAGAAGATTTTTATGACCATATCGTTGAGAATTACCTAAATATTTATTTTTAAGTAAGCAAATGTTTGACTTCACTGGATTGTAACCATTCGGTAGAAAGTTAATTTAGTGAAAAACCCAAAACATATATCAGCTAAATTATATTGATAAATTGTATTACTATTAATAAACTTAATAAATCGAGGTCGCATTATTTCAAGAACTAGAATATAAGTGACTCATTTGTAATATGGCTTAAAATCTTTTCATGTGGTTTATCAGTAGAAACTCTTTTACAGCTAAAAGTCGTAAAAAGATCAAGTTCTAGCAGTTGCCAAAAATTTATGTAAATCGCCTTGTTTTATGGTAAACAATGACGAAGTTCATTCAAAACAATAGCATTTTTCGCGACTATGCGTATTTCCTTTTTCCATTCTGCTACTGAAATGAGATGAATATTTCTATAGTCTCTTTTGTTTTTATAATTCTATTCATACTTTGGAAACTACGTTTGAATACAAATCCATTTAAAAGTAGTAGAAAGTTGTTTGTTGGTATTCCTTTTATATATCTATATGTTCCGCTCAATGACATTTCTGAATTAATGAATATCAGCACTGAAATTCAAATTTTTCTGACGAAACTTCTCCGTTATATAATATTCCTCAATTTCATATTTCTTTATGTAGTATATATCGAATATATACATCAGAGTCGTAGCTAGAGTCCCAGTACAGGCACAACCCGTCCTAGAAAAATAATTGCCATACATAATGCTTGTAAATTGTATTGGTGCTTACAATTTCAACATAAAGTTAAGATATGTTTGAAAATAAACATTACAAAGTCTATACCAGGGTTTTAAAATAGTAGGCAATAAGTTTAATAAATATTTAACTCTTAACTTGGGCGTTTCTTTTCGTGTCATATGCGTGCCAGTGGGAAAGGCGTGTTGATTTCATATTTTAATAATTCCATCAGTATGTTTTTTTTAAAACAGATTCGTGTGCGAGTGTTAATGGATAATCTATTATTAATAAGGGTAGTCGTAAACCAACGAATTTAATAGAATAAGAAGTTGTATACGCTGATATGTCAGTGAGTGAATTGTAAGAAAACAAAAAAGCATTGAAGGAAAAGAATTGAAATTGACAACAATTTTAAATATGCGATCCGTTAGAAGGTTCACGGATTTTATTTTAAAATTAAACTTCCAACATTAAAGAAAATTCAAACTGTAATCAGAAAAGTCAAAGACTTAACTAAACTGTCTTAAAGAAATTTTTTCGTCTTTTACTTTAAATTAAGTTTTAATGGAAAAGAACGAAATTGTAGTATGGCAAAAATAGTACATACCGAGGTACATACTTACACAAATAAAAACGTAAAAAATATTTGTATGTATACCAAAGTAATTGCAGATTTGTAAGAATCTAGTTTTAAGCAAAATCGACATATCTATTTTTTCTTATCTATTTGTTGTTCAGGTTAATAAAATCTTTAAAATGGAATAGTGTTCCCCGCACGCCTGACCCACCGCGCTCTAATCTACATGTTGAGAATGAGTCACATAAATATTTTTTTCAACATATTTTTCTTCAAATATGTATTAACAAAGCGATATAGCAGTTTTATCAAATTATTGCAGGTTTTACTGCAAATGGTGCCCCTATTCTATTTACATAATAATAAATATTTAAAACGCAATATAATACACAAGCAAATTATTAACATTCTACTTTTTATCTGTTGACGTAGAATTATTTCTTGGAACTGGATTTTCATATCTCGCTTTGCGGGAGTATGGCGAGAGGACAAGACTTGTTATTGTTAAAATTTCATATTAAATCTCAGTACGTGCAACATGAGACCATTTTTAGTTAGTTATAAAACATTTTTGTACTCCATCAAATTAATATAAATCAATTTGGAAAGTCCTTTGGACAGATAAGGGACCTATTTACAGAATTGGGGAGAAGTGGGTAACTTGAAGGAAGAATTAGGGGAGAGTGGGGCTATTAAGTGTCTTCTTAACGTTATGTTTCTCGTTTATTTTTCAGAAAATAATCTTACCCAATTCCGCTATCGTTAGAATTATCACATGGATCCAAGCTACGCCTGTAAGTTGATCTCACTTTAGCTGACATGTCTCTAGGCCTGCTGATACCCATGCTGGATTTTGCACTTGGAGGCCTGCCCGGTCTTCTGGTAGGCCTAGAGCTCATCGTTGGTATGGTACAAAGAGTCATCTTTGTTTCACCTGAAATAAATACATCAATATAGGTATCCGTATATGTAGAATGCCTGAAGTTCTGTGTAATTTGTGTTGACAAATAATTAAAGTCTAAATTGAAAAGAATAATGTTGTCATTCATATGTATGAGTGTTATGAAAAAATTGCTTTATTGCATCATACTTTATAGTAGAACAACAAATTAGTGGCGGCTCGTGACATCGAAAATAGGTGAAGCATATTCATTAATTGATTTAAAAGAAAACAAAAACGTCGCAGGGGAAAATTTTCAAATTGTCAAGGTCTAATGGCTTTAAATGAATCTGGAAATTTTTAGTTGCGTTTGCAATATTACCGATAAACTGACGTTCGCGAAAAGAAATTTCATTTAGATTTTATAAAAAAAAAAATTAAAATATTAGTTCGGCTCGTGGACTTAATGATAGGTACAGATACTTCCGAACGTACATTTTTTCTTCCGACTTCCCCCTTTCCAGATCGAGAGAAAGCACAGGTCTCTCACAATTTAAAAAAATCCTTTTTGTTCTCAATTTTCCATCTGGAAAATGGCGTTTCCAATAAAATACATATGAGATTGGTCCCAGAAGTATCCGACCCAACAAAGAAAACACAAAAATTTTGGAAAAAAATATATTTATTTTTCTATATAATCTCCTTTAGCTCTATACACTTTTCCCAGCGATGTTCAATAGGTTCGATACCCTTTTTATAATAAGAACTGTCTTGCTCCTCAAAATAGCCATTAACTGCCGACATCACTTCTTCATCGTTGGAAAATCTTTGACCACTGAGCCATTTTTTCATGTTTGGGAACAGAAATTAATCCGAGGGGGCTAAATCTGGCGAATAGGGTGCTTGATGTAGTAATTCAAACTTTAATTCATCAATTTTGGTAATTGCAATAACGGATGTGTGAGCTGGTGCATTGTTCTCCGTTTTTATAAATTCACTGAAAACTTTCACTATTGATGGCTGTCAAACAAGTACTAAACAACATGGCGTCTTCAAACTGGAAACATATGCTTTATAGATTGTGTACTTTCTAATACAGTGATATTTTTCAAACAACAACCGCCATCTCTAGGTCAGGCCGGGTACTTCTGGAACCACCCTCGTACTGGATCATACATAGGAAACATTTCTACAATTACTGATACAAAACAAATAGTAACAAAGAACCGTTATAATCGTGCACTGGGCGACTTAACGTATAAACTGTTTAAAGGCAGGCGATGGGCGATAGCGATGCTAATTCAATTTCCGCATCACTCGTTCTCCACGCTGTAGTTTACTCACGTGTTGGCCGCCTCGTTGCCATGACAACCACCGTAAACAACGCTACGAAGTGAAGCGAAGCGGAATACAAACTGATTTCGATCCGCGTCACTTGCTTATGCTATACGTTGTATATGTTGTTGTCGCTGTACGAGGTTGATGTTCGCGCTCAACGAAGACAATGTTTTTTTAGAAGGCGTTCACCGTGCAACTATTCTGTTTATTTCTGCGTATAAAACAAAAAAAAACAATATATTTTCAATATATAATTATAACGAAATTATAAAATTTATATGATATTAAAAAATATTTTAAATTGCACAACCAAACGGAAATTTTAGATGTAGCGGTGTGTCACTATGTCACCTGGCGAGCCACCACTGCAACAAATAAGCTTAATGTAAGTGCATTAAAGTTTATTTTCGTTGTTTAAACGTTGATCTCATCAATGTAAACTACTGTTATTCCAAGTATTTAGAAAATAAAAATGGAGACGTGTTAAAATATTTTATGGGGCCATATTTATCTTTACATTCAAATTTTGACGGGACGAGATCTTCATTAATTTTTTTAACATAGGACAATATTACGTAACGTCTAGAAGTCAAGGCCACTGGTAATATAAGGAGGTTAAAAAATTGGAATAAGTGACTTATAAACAATAAAATCGAGCGACACAAACAATTTATAATATTAACACGCACAAGTAGACAACGACCAAGGTCAATTAGCGTTTGTACTTGACGGGGAATTGCTAATAGGCATTTCGTTGTTGATAAATGTTCAGGAAACCGTGATAGTCCCAGCTAACAAATAGTTTTTTTTGTAGGATCTGCTTTGTCTCATTATCAATCTTCCTAAAAGCCAAAAAGGTGACCAATTTACATGAAGTCGCATAATTTCAAAAAACTATACTAAATAATCCAAATAATCTTATCATTTCAACAGATTTTCAATCCAAAACCAGTTACATAAATCAAGATTCACTTCTCTTTTGAAAACTACAAGCGGAATCTAAAATGGTGGAATTATCTCCATTAAAAATGTTGGTTCATCTTTCAAATATTTCTACACTGACTAAAAATAAATATGAACTGATTCATATACACGTTTAGTGTCTACCAAGCCCAAACCAAGGTTAAGCAACTACTTGAGCGTATTGTTGTATACCAACAGGTCACTGGAGTCAGTACCTACTACAATACCTTTTCGACCCACGGGTCAACAAACCGAAATTGTAAAGGTTTATTTTTTATGCACGTAATACTTGCGTTTATTCCTTTAGGCGACCCCGAGTGTGTATATCGATGAGGTTATTAACTAGAAACAACTTCTGGGTTATCTAATATTTGATATTTGTTTTAGATCAATTACAAACATAATTCGGTAACTATCCTCGATCTATTTGCAGAGTTTCGACTGGTTTCTTGAACCGAAAATTAAACACGTCGAGTTGCTCATAACAAGCAACATTATCTATAAATGTAGCGATAGAGGAGTTATCAGAAAATAAACATTGTGAGACTGAATTGTTGTTATTAACTTCAACCACTTCTAATAAGTTGCTAAGCTCATTTTTTAGACAGTACTGCAATGATTAAAACATTCGTTTTATTGACAAGTTTATACGTTTTTTATACAAAATTTTTAAAACCACGATCCTAAAAACCAGTTGTATTATTTTTTTTGAGCTCTTTTTTTTTTTGGTTGTTTCGATGAGAGGAGGAATCAACCATGGTTGTCGCAATGTGTCTATTACAACCTCTATATAGAATGTTCTTAGACTGATCGATAATAATGATAAAAATATACTTGCTTAACTTACATTTAAGTGAAAACTTCATGAACTGATCAAACCAAGTCACGCAAAAGTAATTTGAATACTGGTGGTCATCTAAAGATGCTTTTTATTTCAAGTTATTAGTTTTATCCAGCACAGAAAAGAAAATTCCAGAAACATAATTACAGAAAATGCTTTAAAATTAAGAGAGAATTACGACTAATTGTTATATAAATAGTATCCAGTTATTTCACAACATTATTAACCTGATTTACTCCTCGGACATTAAACTGCTTTAATTTTGGTATGTGCGATCGTATCTCACAGATTTTAAAGGTGCTCCTGTCTGCCTTTCAAGGCAAATAAACAAATCGAGAGTACAGATAACAAATCATAAACTATTGCAAAATGTATTTGTCTGTATTTCACAAATTGTTTAAAACACTTATCTTCACTATTCTCTTTACCTTAACTAAGGCAAACTATTTCAAAAAGAATATCGAAAATATCTAATTACATTTTCAAATTACATATAGGCTTTAATTGGTATTACTATTAGTACAGGCAATTAAGACGTTTTGAAAGTAAAGTTTATTAACCTTAATGATAAGTTATTAAATGTATATTTGTCAAAGCCAGATAAAGCCATGTGGGACTGTGTTCTCGACTGAGACAGTTAATAACTGTGTAATGTCTGAATGTAGTTTAATTACAGTATTTTGGAAGAAATTGAAGCAAATAGTTCAGGAGAATGTTTCGAGTTATTAGTCAGTATGTATTTAGATACAAAATGAACAGGTTTCTAAGATTTGTTAACTATTTTCTGAAGAAAATAATATGTATGGAGAAAGAATAAACGCAAAATCAAATAATATTAAATGGAAGCATCATCATAATTCTTCAATTTCAGACGATTATAAGGAAGACTAACAGAATCAAAGCAGACCTAATATAAAGCAAAGTTAATGTTAGCATCACCATAATTCTTCAATTTCAGGCGATTCTAAGACGAATAGAATCAAGACAGACCTAATATAAAGCAAAGTTAATATTAGCCTTTACGTACGTATTTATATATCAAAAATGGAAATACCAAATATACCGCATATTATCGAGTATAACAGTGCCTGGGCCATAATCTATGTCAATTAGTAAAATACTCATTTCCTGGAGATAAGAAAAATATCTTAGGTTTCACTTGTCTTTTATATTGTATTTATAATATTTGTAACACGCAATTTGTAAACAGCACATTATTTTAATAAACATTTTTGGGTTTTATAGATGAGAGTATGTAGAATAAAGTTTCATAAATGTCATAACACAATTACAAAATGAACTCATGTATTATTTATACATACTTTTGCGAATATCTGGAAAAGCTGGCGACATTTTATGATTGCAAAACAATGTGCAGTGTTTACAAAACACTTAATTGCTTACTGTACTTTTTAATAAAATAACAGTATCACTGAATAGATCTTCAATGTGCACTTATCGTTAGTGCGTAAAGTAGCGTCCTCTCAAACTACACCTATATATCGGTTAATATGAGAGCATGACTTAACTAAGAATTAAGTATCAAGAATACATTCAAACGTTATAGAAAGAACCATTATGTGTTAAATCTACGGGAACATTATTCCCCGTATAGAACGTCTACTATAAAAAATATTCTACTACCATCACAGCAAAGATAATAAAGATATACTGATAAAAATGTCACGCGGATCTTAATGCGAGTTATCATAATGATCAATAAATTGTTGTATCTATTATAATAGGACCCCTTGAATCTTTAAACAAACATTTAACAAAACGAAAACATATTTATGTATTTTGAAAGCGAAATTAAGATCTCTGATTATTAAATAACGATCTTTCGTGTCTTACGTTAACAAATTCCGATCATTCTAAACAACAGCTATGTATCTACACGCTTCGACGTTTG